GGCGACAAATCATTGTTCTAGATTATCCTTACCACCACCTATGCATGAGGTGACAGCAACTCCAGGCTGCAGAGGGAACCTTCCCAGTAGCACACACAGAACATGACTTCTTCGTATCTCCCTCCCGCCACTGTGACCAAGAAGCAAAGATTTAATTGCTGGCTTCATCCTGACTTGACCAGCATGACTCACTCTTAATAATATATTTGTGGACATTCTTTCATATGAATTTTCAAATTTGAAAATTCTGTCCACTTAGCACAAAGCACCATTTCCAGTCCAGGTTTTTCCTCTTGTCTCAGAAGGAATCCAGAAGAAATATAGGAAATAATTCTTTCTCTTTCTGCATAGAAATCACTAACATTTTAACAAATGAATTTTCACTAAAAATGAGAATAAAGAGTTTTTTTTTTTAACATGGAAAGTGAAGTCTCCCCTTGTATCAAAAGGGGAACCCCATCCATCAACGCAGATGGATAAAACTATGATCATCATGGTTGAACGATTGAAAAAAATATATAACACAAAGGCCAGAAAACAGAGTGGGAAAGAAAAGTCTATAATGGCTTGGCTGCTAAGGACAATTTCACGCTCATGCCAACACTAAGTGCTCTTCCCAATAAATAACCCATATATCCATTATCACAAGCTTCCTCTTGCTAAGATCCTGCTACTTCACATCATTCCTTTTATCCCTTCCTTGCTCCATCTTCCTCCACCTCCACCCTGCTTCTCCCATCCAGGCACTGTGTGCTCCTAACGTTACTGCCAATGTCGGAACTGGATAGGAGAACCAGGCTGGAGGTGGAGGAAGATGGAGCAAGGAAGGGATTCTCCTATCCAGACCTTTCTTTCTCACTCTGTTTTCGGTTTCTCTGTTTCTCTTTACTTCGTTGAGAAACCAGTATTTGTGCCCTGTGTACCAACTGGAACATCTGCTACTTAAAAAAAATAAATTGGAATCACCTCTTTACCTAGCATCCTCTGGGGCACAAAGTTTGGAAGATTCAGCATCCTCAAAAAACAGCCGCAGAAGGGGGGCTGGGGCGGGGAAAGCATTATCTTCTTTAGCTTAGTAAATTCGATCTATGTAAACAGCAAAGGAATACCACTTTAAAAATTCCTCAGTACAAGCAAATCCATGTTATCAACAACAGATTGTCTTCCTCTGTCCTCGGAAGATGGAGACCCACACATTTTATTTCATTTTTGCAGTGTCTCCTTTGCAACGCATTATCATATAAAAGAGATATAGCATATATCTTTAACTCTAGAGAACAAAATGCCTATATTTCCCCTCTTTCTCTCAGATGGTTTTCTTATCTCTTTTTTCTCTTCTGTCCCCAAACACCTCCCCAATGGAGAGATAAAAAATACTTCCACTGAGTTACAGAGAGTACTGTGTTGAAACAGCTTGCCTGAATCCAACCACAGCCCATTTTTCAAAACCTTCTTTTCCACATTTGGTCAGCAGCTCAGCCCATTCCATTCCTTGTATCAGCAGCCTCTTGCCAATGCAAATTCCCATCACCATATACCTCTGCCCTCGAGGCCAGTCCATTTCCTTTATATGTTTGCACTTAATTTGATTCCATTCTTCATGCCTTTTCCATTATTCTTAGTTCATCCACACCACATAAATTATCACCTTTGTTGTCAGTTCCCCATGTGTCCTATTCACACCAATTCCAAATAAATACCTCTGATTCTCATCCATTTAATCCAAATTAATTCACATTCCCTCTCCCCAACCTCCATCCCTATCTTTACCTCCCTGTTACCCATTTCTCTTTCTTACGACACCTACTTTTCCTTCCAACTTTGTCTCTGAGGAAGATCATATAGACAAACACTTTGGGAAGATGCAAGTTCACTGCTTCCTGTTGTCTGTGGGGAGCTGCGTGCTCCCTACGTTACTGCCAATGTCAGTGGACGATGCCTGCATGTCCAGTTTTGCCCTCCACAACCCGTGTCTATAAGCATCACCACCCCCGGCCCCATTGATCAAACATTGGGAGTGAGGGCAGGAAAGCTTCTTGCTTTTTCTTTTTTTTTTTTTCTTTTTTTTGGTATTTTATGCTGGCTAACTGTCTTGTTTCTCATTTGCATAAGCTGTCTTTTGGCTCCATCATTGTTGATCAATATCAACAAGAACAGTCAAACTATATTCAACCCTGCTGCTATCTGTAATGAGTTTTACTAGCTACCAAGGAGTTTACATGCATTTGTTCATTTAATCTTCAAAGCAATCAAAGCAATCTAGGAGGCTGACACAACCATCCCTGTTTTAAAGATGAGGAAATGAAGGCTCAACGCCTCAAATAACTTATCCAGGTCATAAACCTAGGAAGTGGTAGAGCTAGGACACAAACCCAAGTCCACCTGACCACAAAGCCCCGCTCCTAACGACCATGGACTTCTGCTTTTCTAATAATGCAGGTGCCTTCTCTGTGTAAATTCCCCATGGGCACCAGTCTTTCCACCTCAGTCCAGCATAAGGCAAGGGGTTGCAGGTGCCGGGTAACATAATGAGCGCCACCTTCGTAGTCACTCTGAGTAGACAATGCTAAAAAAACAAAGCGCCAAATAATGCATCAAGCATAACAGTTAGCCTTCTGATGTCTGTTTGCAAAAGGGGAGGTCTGGACTCCCCCAAAAGAATCTCTGGTTTCTAGGACCTCCAACCTCCACACTAGGCAGGATCCAGCCTGCCAATGATTCAGAAAGGTATCCAGAACCATGAATTCCACAGCCCCAACCCAGTTCAACATTCTTGTCTCATCCTGCTCCCTCCGGTTTCCCAGTGGGGGTGGGGCAGGGATGAGTCATGCCCTGAAGACAAGGAGCACTGCAACTTCTTGCCCTTACTTCACTCACTGACTTTAGAAAGAGGAGAATACAAACAAAACTAATTCCACAACCATATACAGCATCAGAGAAGAAAAAACTGACCATAGCAGGAGGCATTAGCCTTGGGGTACGTAGAGTAGAGAACCTGGACCCAAATTCTGATGGGGAAACAAGAGTGAGTTTTTATCCCTGAACCACCAGGCTTCAGATGTGTTAGAAGACCATCCCATGAAGTAAGCTAAAGCCACATGAAAAATTAAGTTCAGAATTAGAGGAATATATGCCTGACATTCTGTGTGCAAGGAAGTAGTCGGTTTCATCTTCCCATGGAAACAACTTCGAGATTCAAAATGGTGATTTCTTGTAGTCACACATTATGCCTTCATACTTCAGAAAAGTTCTTCTGTACAGACAGCTGATGGAGCTCCAGAACATTAGAGGTAAAAGGGACCTTAAAAGCCAGACTGCTTGACAGACATGGAAAATGAGGTCCGGCAAGAAAGGAATAGGCTCAAGGTCAGGGCTAAGTATAGAACCCAAACCCAGGTTGTTCTGATTTTCCAGCCAATGATCTTTCCACTGTACACTTCTCTGGTGGCTCTCAAGTTATACCTTTGGGGTTCTCCCTGCTCAGCTTTTCGTGTGCAAGCAGTATATAAAACCATACAGGTAACAAACTACTAGAGACTCATTTAAAAACCACCAATCACCATAATTGCTACTAGCATCCTAGTAGACCAAGAAGAGACAACACCCCTAAGCTCCAATCTCAAAGCAGAGAACAAAGACCAGTTCCAAGAAAAATGTTGACCTTACTCTTTTCTTTCTGAACCCTACACTTCCAAAGTATCCCATTGCTCAAAAGGTGAATACGATTCTTTGGCGTCACCACGAAAGTCCTGAGTAAAATACACAGTCCCCATGCCTCCCCCACCCTTGCCACACACATAGCAATGTAATCACTTTAGCAACTTCTCAGTAACAAGCTCATTAAAAAGCAATTCCACCATCTCTCCATAAAGCACGCGCCAGAGAACAATGCAAAAGAAAGGATGCCAATTAATTATAGAATGATCACATCTAATGAACTCTGAAACCCTCCTGCTGTTGGTGACTTTGATGAAAAATCAGGGATGCTGGGAGAAGAGTGAACAGGGGCACCCTAGCTACCTTGTTTAACTGTGAGTGCTTTCACATGGACCTCCTCAGATCCCAGTGTTGATCAGAACTGCAGAGCCACACTCACAAAACAAGGCATCAGCAAAGCCACAAGTGTCTGCGTCACAGACAGCTCAGAGTCCCACTGCCAGAGCCCCTTCAGTCATCCTCAGAACTGCTGGAGTCTACGCAGCAGTTGGCATCACCTCTGAAAGCAGCTCACAGCCAGCAAGGGACAAGCCCATGTCCTGTGCTTGGGACATCGTGAGTCCTTCTGCTCCCCCACCCACCCCGGACCCTCCTGCCTCGCTATGACTTCTTGATCAGCACAGATGCTGCTCTTGAGGACACGAGAAGCCCTTCCCACCACGGGGCTCCCGGAGGGAAAGGAGAAGAAACCACGTGCGGCCGACTTGTACCACTACCTGTGTGAGTCCTCTGGTGGGCCTTTAAGTGGGAGCTTTTTGTATAAACTTTCCGGCACCCGTTAAACTGACAGCGGTGAACCCTCTTCTTGTTTTCAGGGCATGCTTCTGCCCCTAGCCCTCCTTGGTCACTGTCGCTCTGTCCAGTCTTAACAGTCCCAGCTGCTGCCACGGCCGCCGCTGCTGTTGCGACCCCTCCCACCTTCACAGAGCTGAGTGTGGCCTTCTTGGCCACCAGTTTCAACGTCACCGTGCCATCCACGGCAGAGAGAGTCTGTGAGGTTTTGACCAGATGGCGGCTGAGCTCAGGGGATGATGGGGGCGTTAATGAGGTCACTGCGTTGAGCTGGGCCTGGTTGACGGCTGTGTAGCTGTCCAGAGAAGAGCTGGTTGGCTGGAGGCTGAGGCAGGTCTCAGAGAGCAACTTGTCCCGAGAGAGCAGAATGTCCACTGCTGAGCTCTTCTCACAGATGGTCGCTTCCACGGGGAGCAGCAGGGGGTCCAAGCGCCGGAAGCTCTCCTCAATGCACGGGGGAGGAGACGCATGCAGGAAGCAGTCCAAGTCCTCGCCAAAGGTCTCCGAGATCCTCCTGGGCTCCGTCTGTAGGTAGCGTTCCAATTCAAGGCATGTCTGCAGAGAGGAAGAGGGAGGGAGAGAAACAGCCATCAGAGGCAAAGAACAGCATGAGGCCACATGTTGATAGGCAGAGGGGAAGGTCCAGAGAGAACGCTTTCAAGGCTGGTGCCTGCAATGCTTGGTGGAAAGATCTGACCTTGCTATTACCCTCTGAATGCCCCTGGGTGAGGGTTTGTAAAGGTCACATCACATGATTTCATCTACCCTAGCTGAAGGAGAACCAGAGCCCCAGAAGAACTACCTCATGTCTTCAAGAGCCCAGAAAATATCCAATGACAAAAGAATGTTCTTCCGCCCCTCAGTGTAGTTCAGCAGCTAAGATGCTCCCGGCATCTCTAGGGAGCTTTCCTGCTACCATGTGAACAAGCAGCAAATAGAAATAGACAAAGTTTTCATACTAAGACAAGATTTCCCAGAGTCTACCTTCATTTTTCAGTAGAGGAGAAATAGAGGAGAAGAATCAAAAAGTTTAGTTTTCACAAATCTTCATCTGTGGTACTTATTCTTTGTAAGATGGTAGAAGTGATTTAATGGCAAAAGAGATACTTGAGAAGTTCATATTCTGAAAGTCTCCTCACCTGGAAATTCTACCAACACTATTCCAGAATCCTGAATAAAGCTACCTTCCTAACTTCCACCACCAGCTCAATTTGCCCTATCTTCTGCATTCAACAAAGAACCACTGATGGCAAATACCAAATGTGACTAGCTCCAAATTTGCGTCTATGTTTTCGACCAGTGCTCTGACTCAAGGCTTTTATTTTGTTAAGAATACATTTTAATGATATACCTAGTCATGTTGTATCTGTCAAGGATTTTATTTTGGTGACATATCAAAAGATTGGTTTTTAATCAGACTTCTGATAAAACTCTGCATTACTGAATCAGCTTTTGGCCTCACTGTTGATATTCTATGGTATAAACTAATGAATGGTCCCAATCTTCACTCAACATGCAAGTTATAATGTTCCTTCAACTACTGTGCTCACAGCACAGTACAGGCTTTGTATGTCCCAGAAGGAGAAGACATAGCAATAGATCCATGTAATGTAGGTACAGAAGAAACAATCACAAGCTAAAAACGACATGAATTTGCAAAGCAATATGATACCACATAAATACCATAATGCAAAGTGGGTTCATATGTTCTTAAGGGCTGAGTAGACAAAGATTATTGGGAAAGTAAGTTTTTATTTTGCTTTACTTACTGATTAAATAATAACTCTGAGTCAGTAGTGGCCCACCAATTTATATTAGAAACCAATACAACCACTTTCTTGGGTCTAATAATATGCAGTATTCTTACTTGCTCCTTTTCTGAATTCCAAATCTCAAAAATTCCCCCTTCCTTTTTCCACCTCATTGCTACAATTTACTTCCTTCCAATACTTAAACCCTCATTCTTAGCTCCAGGAGTCAATTCTCTTCCAGATTTTAAGATTCTGTTCCTGAAGCCTCCCTTAAATATCCCCTTACGTTCTTTCTTACATGAGCCATTACCCACCCAGCACAGTGCCTGGCACCCAAGAGGTATGTAATGTCTGTCAATGATGAAACCCACATTATATTATCAGTTTGCTCATTCTACCTCTTTCACTCTTTGAAAGCCATCTTCTGACATCCTACCTTGGACCATGTTGAGATATGACCACTGATAAATGTCTTCTGAAACACAACTGTAAATGCTTCTTGAGCTTTACTCAAAGAGCAGAACCAGATATTTAAGACACACATATGTTCCAGGTAAAGTCAGCTGAATCATGGGTTATAGATGTCCCTGAGGTAGTTCCCTACCTTCCACATGATGACTATTTCATACACTCAGTCACCATGATGGATGGCTAGAGCTTTTGCATGCCCTGTTCCTCTATGTACCTTCTAGCTCAAATATTTGAAAGTCTAAGAAGTTGTTATTTTAGAAGGTGCATTCTTTTTCATATTCAGAATCCTGAGGAACTGAGATATTCTAAATACATTTGCCCACTCTTCTGGGAAGATTAAAAAATAACCTACCCAGTATGGCCTGGTTTGAATTCCAGGAGCTCATGAGTCATACTTATGATCTAAAGATGGAGATCCCTCTGATCATTAAACCCAATGTGGTAAAATCCAGACCACTCTGGGGAGGCTATAACTCACAATCTTGATACTGGACCTTCTTATTCCATTTGAGAATCAGACAAGCACGTGTACCCATCAGGATGTGTTGAACAGCCCTGTGAAATCATAATGGAAACATTTTTGTCTTGAGAAACCCACTTCTTATTTGCTAGAGATGAAACTTAGGTAGAGGTAGAAGTCGACTGAAAACAAGGGTTTAAAGATTTTCTCATCAAGAGTGTAAAGATTAAAATGCTAAAGATTAGGGAGAGTTTAACATTAGATTATTTCCAAGCTAATGAAAACATTTATCTCCAATCTTATTTGCGAAAGATTATGAGAACTCATTTAAGAAATGCCCCTGATGTTTAATTAGAATTTGAGATATCAGTATTTCTGCATATTATTTCATAACACACACACAGGTATATAGAAATAAATGTGTGTGTCCATGTGTGACTACACATACGTATATTTCCTAACTCCATCCCCTGAAAGAGCCTACGAGCAAAGATACCCCAGTAGTAAGGAACACACTTAGTTGGTTTCTAACTATCACATTCAATAAAGGGAACCAGGGGTCCTTGGCGAAACAATTCTTTGATGGGATGGGGCAAAGAAAATAAAAGGTAATCCTAGAATATCTGGTGGTATGAAAAGGGAAAGAAGTGCTCAGGAGGTGATGAAGTAGGTCAAAGGACTCAGGAGCCAACTTTAAAGAGCTCACCATGGCTAAATCTACGAATCCATATGGATTTAAATAAATGATTAATAAACAAACAACTGGGTGGGAAGGTTCAGGTCCTCCAGATAGCAAAATTTCAATTATTAAACATAAAAGGAATGATGGAAATAGAAAATCACCATTAGGCAAACAACAAAGCAATAAAGATCACAAGGCAGAATCACCAGTGGATGCCAATAGCAGTGGGGAGAAACAGATACCTGCCTAGTTGCAAAGTATCCCCTCCCCACAAGATATCTGTTAATTACAGAGACAAAAAGAATAACTTTATCGTGGGGAAGCCTGGAAGACACCACTTTAACCATATGATCAAAGTTAGCCGTGATAGTAACAAATCACATGGAGAACAGCCCCGATATGAGATGCTGACAAGACTACAATGTAACTCTGTGATATTTCTGCCCAAATTGGACAACCTCAATCTACTTGTGGGACAACATCAGACACGTCCAAATTGAGGCCTATTCTATGAAAGAACGGGCCAGTTATTCTTTAGGAGTGTCAAGGTCATGAGGAACGAAGGATGAATGAGAAGTGTTACAGATTGGAGAAGACGAAGAAGAGATGACAACTAAATCCTGGTCTAGATACTGGACCAGTAAAAAGATATTTATTGGTGGGAAAAATAACATAAATCAAATGGAGTGTATAGATTAGCTAATGGTATTGTATCAGTGAGAATTTCCTCATTTTGCTAACTGGATTCTGATTAGGTAATATCAGGGGAAGCTGGGAAGAGCACATATAGTAACTCTGCATACTATTCTTGCAACTTCTCTGTAGGTCTAAAATAATTTCAGAAAGAAAGATAGACCCATCAGCAAACTAAAAGTGTCTCTAGATTGTAAGTCTGGATATAGAGTTCAAATGTTTGCCCACTAGAGCCAAAGATTTGGTTTCAATGTCACTCTAGCCAGAAAACTCCAAATCTGAGTCAGATGTCAGCTGAATGACAAATTATGTCTGTCTAGTAGAGGAACCTTGGAGGCATGAGGCTTCCCTCAGCCTGACTTGAAAATACAACATGAGGTTTAAGCCTTTGAGTCAACCTCCAAACTTTAAAAAATTCATTGCAGTCACCAACAGTAAAGAAGCAGTCCCAAATACAAAGCGATTTTCTTCTATATTTATAAGTCACAAATGAGGTTTGTGACGACTCTCCAATATCTCCACTTTGAAATGCATGGTGGCTTCTTTTCCTAGTTCCCTAATAAATATCACTCAAAATTGGTTTGAGTGATCACCCTGAAACCTTTTTTAATATACTCTCTTCATGCTTCCCATAGCCTCCTTACTTGTTAAAACATGCATATTAAAAGTAATAATCTAAGACCTAGTTAAAAAATAAAGAAGACTTCAAACCTATGACTGCCACGCATATTAATTCTATGATAATTTTTACTATAAGGAGATAATTCTTCCCCTCTATTTGTTTATTTATTCAATCATTTATTTATATCATATGGATGTAATGATATTTTAGTCTAATGGATGACAATCCATTATCATCATTCACTTTTTTTACTCAATGTTCCAAAGGCAGAAGTTGAAAGAAAACAGGATAATTCAAGTTTTGCAACACATTTTAAGTTTACCAAATCTCCCTGCTGCTGACAAGAGGCAGTTATTTTCACAGGCTGGAGAAAAATGTAAGACATATGGTCATAGACAGGCATGATGTCAAAGTTACCAAAAGGCTTTCATTCAACCTGTCCTTATCTCATCATAAATTACAAGAAACTTGCCAATTGAGATTATAAGCACCTCCTGTCTCTTTGACCATCTCCTCTATACTTTCCTAAAGGGCTTCCTTCACTTAGTTTTCTTCTCTTTACCTCATGTGAGACACAATCTTTCATCTTTCTCCTCACTCATCATTCTTCCGTTTAAAGTTCAACATGAAGTCTATCCCCTTCAGGAAGCCCAGTTCCCCACTCCCCCCAAAAAATGGAGTAAAGAAAATATGCTGACTGCCTAGTGTGGAAAGACACCTCTTTTCAACACTGCACAATTAAAATGTATCTCCAAAATGTATCCAAGAGTCCATAGATTGGTGGGATATTTAGTTTATTAAGATTATGATCTTAAAAGCAATGATCTAGTCTATAAATCACATGGGTTCACAAATAGCAAAGTTAATCATTCAGAG